TCATACACTGCTGGTGGGACTGTAAAATGGTACAACCATTGTGGAAAGCAGTATGGTGATTCCTTCAAAAGTTGGAATTAGAAATACCATTTGATCCAGCCATTCCATTACTAGGTATATATCCTAAAGTGAGAGCCATGATAAGAACAGACATATGCACACCCATGTTCATCGCAGCACTATTTACAATAGCCAGAAGATGTAAACAACCTAGGTGTCCATCAACTGAGGAATGGATAACCAAACTATGGTACATACACACAATGGAATGCTATGCAAACCTAATGAATAATGTAGAATCTGCAAAACACTGCATAACATGGGTGAACTTGGAGGACATTCTGCTGAGTGAAATAAGTCAATCACAGAAGGATAAATATTGTATTAGTCCATTATTGTAAAAGTCAAGGAAAGGTTTAGATATGGAAGGAAATTTTCTTTGTTGGTTATCAGGGGTGGGTGGGAGGGAAGTGTAAGGAGCACTGTTAGATAGGTAGAGATAAGTATTGATTTGGGTGAAAAGAAGGGCAATGTACCAAATGTGAGTGATCAACATGGTGGCATTGAGGAAGAAAGACATACAGAGGTACATGGGAGGTACAGACAACAAAGATGAACCCTTTTGCGCATACAGTACTGTATCGTCAGTGAAGGCAAATATGAGTATATGGGTGGGTAGATGGGTGGACAGGCTGAACTATTAGTTATGTCGATGAAGCAGGGAATGTACCCAAGACCATGTATAGGGTTGGCAGACAGTGGTCTTATAAGTGTTATTTGTATGATCTGTAAGAATTCCCAGGTGTATAGTAGAGCTGAAAAGGGGCAAGGTTGTGGTCACTGCTTGGTCACAGCCAGCTACCCAGAGGGACCAAGTAGTTGAACCAGTGGGCTCAGGACCATAATTGCAGGGGACATCAAGCTCAATTGGCATAACATACTACACAAAACATTGTTCCACCTTCTACTTTGGTGAGTAGCAACTGGGATCTTAAAAGCTTGCAAGCAGCCACCTAGTTGCAACAATGGGTCTCTCCTCATCCAGAGCAAAGAAGAATGAAGAAAACCAAAATTCATGGAAACAATTAGTCCTAGCGACTGGTACACCATGTGATCCTCAGCCTATACAACTATGAGACCAGAAGAACTAGATGGTGCCTGGCTACCATTGTCAGCCACTCAGAGGGGAATCCATGTAGGAGATCCTGGATAGAGAGAGAGAACAATGGGAACAAAACTCAAAATCATTTGGAAAAAAAACAAGGGGTGGGGAAACCAGGTTTGCTGGTCTGATATAGCCTGATGGAACCACTGAGACTATGGCCTCCAGCTGCCCTTCAGGTCTGGAATTGAACCCATACCTGTGGCTTCCAGCAAAACAAAAGACAGGCATATGAATTAAACATTTACCTGAGGCAGATACACTCCTTGGAAAGAACAATCATGGGAGAAAGAAGGGCTATTTATGCACAGGGAGACAGCTAAGGGGGCAAGAGTGCATGGAGGGATGGACACAGGGAAGAGGTAACTATCGGGAGGAAGTGGGAAGGGAGCTATTGCATTGGAGTAAATTGTAGTCAATATCATGAGACAAAGTGTATGTGAACTGCTATATGGAAAGTGAATTTGCTCTGTAAATTTTCACCCAAATCACAAATAAAAACAAAACAACAACAACAAAAAAAAACTAACAGCCTGATATTGGTACAATGACAGACACATAGACCAGTGGAATGGAATTGAGAACCCAGAAGTAAATCCAACCGCCTATGGACAGCTGACATTTGATAAAGGGCTGAAACTCATTAAATAGGAAATCTGTCTCTTTAACAAATAGTGCTAGCAAAACTGGATATCCATTTGCAGAAAAATAAAACAGGATCCATATATTTCACCATATACAAAAACTAACTCAAGGTGGATCAAATGCGAAATGTAAAATCATAAAGATCATCAAGGAAAAAAGGGGCAAACTTAGGGACCCTAACAGATGGCATGAATACACTATCAAACATAACTGAACATACAAACAGCAAAAGACACACTACACAACTGGGACCTTCTAAAAATTAAACATTTATGACCATCAAAAGACTTCACCAAACAACAATGAGCTAGCATCTCACCCCAGCACTAATAGCAAAGTTCAAAAAATCAGAAAATAACAAATGCTGGCAAGGGTGTAGAGACATGGGAGCCAACATACACTGCTGGTGGCACTGTAAATGGTGCAACCACTGTGGAAAACAGTATGGCACTTCCTTTTAAGAAACTGGAAATAGAAATATCATATGATCCCGCAACTACACTACAAGGTATATATCCTAGAGAAATAATTGCTGTGACACAAACAGATATATGTATGCCCATGTTCATCACAGCACTGTTCACGATAGCAAAAAGATGGAAACTAAATACCCATCAACTGAGGAATGGCCCAACAAACTATAGTACTTACACACAAGGAATACTATGCAACTTTAAAGAACTACAAAACATCTCATAACATGGATAAACTTAGAGGCCATTAAGCTGTGTGAAGTCAGTCAATCACAGAAGGATAAATGTTGTATTAGATCACTATTGTAAAAAATTAAGAAAGGGGTTTCACACAAAAAGAAGTATTATTTGATGGTTACCAGGAGTGGATGGTGAAGGGAAGGTAAACCACTAACTACAGGGTAGATATCTGGTAACTTGGGTGAAGGGGAAAATAAATAAATAAATAAAGCTTATTAGTAGTTACTAGGGCAGATGAGAGAGGAAAATGGAGGTCTGTCACTTAAGGGGTACTGAGTTTCTGTTAAGGGTGATGAAAATACTTGGATACAAACAGTGGTCATTGTTGCACAACATGATGTATACAATGGATATCATTGAATTGTACATGTAAAAATGGTTGAAATGGCAAATGCTTTTGGTATATATATTTTACACAATACAAACACCTCTGAAATAATATTTCTAAGTAAAAAATGTGGGGGGAAAAAAACTAGTAAGGATGAAGAAATCAAGGAAAAGAAATCTGCGGCACTTTGGCAGAAAGATCCTGACTGACAATCAAGTCATTAATAAGAAAGAGAGGAAGTTTTACCTGGGCACTCAAATGTCAGGTTATGTAATGGAGGCACCATTCTTAGAAGTTGGGCTGCAGTCATGGTGGACCTTTTCTTAATCTCACTGCTTCCCTTACCTCTAAATAAAGATGAAGGCTGATTTGATAGCCTATTGATCATATCAAACAATATTTTTCTGTTCATTCTTCAAAACAATTTTTTTTCTCTTCATAGTGGTGTGCTTGACAATTCAGGAGGGAAAATACTTGTTCGGAAAGTTGCTGGACAGTCTGGTTATAAAGGCAGTTATTCCAACGGTGTCCAATCTTTGTCCCTCCCACGATGGAGAGAGTCCTTCATCATCTCAGGTATTCCCAGACGCTGCAGAAATGCGTAAACATGGTTTAGGTTAAGTGGCCTCACAGGGTGAGATGTGTTCTTTTCAATGTGTTGTTTTTGTTTATGACCCACTCCATTGCATAAAAATCAGAAGCATTAGTTTTTCTGATAATTAGAAACATAGAATAGTTACAATTGAATTATAATTATCAGTGATAAATCACCACCAAACCAAAGCTGGAAATATTAAAAAGTTCCAATTGTTCATTTCGAACACATTGCAGTTAAAAGCTCAACCAAGCTTTTAAATAAGTGAATTATATTTAAAAACCTGGGTTATTGAACTAGTTTTTGGTTAGGCCAAACATACCTCCTAGCTATAACCCTATTCCCCAGATTTCTGGTAGATGAATAGATAAAGACATAGGCTTTCTGAGAACTGAGCTGAAACTTCAGATTTTAAATAATTTTTATTTATTTAATTTTGTTTCACTATTCTTAAATATATAAGAATTTTCTAGATAATCATTTCTCACTCTTTTTTTTCTTCCAAAGAGGTGATGTCAATGTGCTAATAACTAATATTATTTTACAATGAAAAAAGGTAATCAAGTATCGTTGTCCTATTGTGATCTACCTTCCTTCTTTTACTACTTTTTGAAAAATCCCCGACCAACCTTTTATTTTGAATTTTTTATATTTACAGAAAAAGACTAGTACAATGAATACCCATATTCCCTTCACCTAGATTCACCAGTTGTTAAAATCTGACTACATTTGCTTTACCTATTGCTCTATATTTTGTCCTGAACCATATGAAAATAAACTGCAGACCTTTAAATACTTTAGCACACATCTTATAAGAAAATTTTCCTCAGTAACCACAATAGCAGAATCTTACTTGAAAAAATTAACATTAATTTAGTAATGTTGTTGTTTAGCTGTCTTCAAGTTGGCTCCAACGCACAGTGATCCTATGCACAACAGAGCGAAACACTGCCTGGTCCAGTGCCATCCTCACAGTCTTTGCCATGCTTTACACCGTCATTGCAACCACTGTGTCAATTCATTTTGTTGAGGGTCTTCTCTTTTTCATTAACCGTCTACTTTACCAAAGACCAAACTCACTGCCGTGGACTTGGAACCGACTCATAGCGATCCCTCCTTGAGTTTCTGAGGCAGTATCACTTCAGAAGTAGATTATCCAACCTTCTTTCCGTGGAGTGGCTGGTGGGTTTGAACAGCCAGCCTTTTGATTAGCAGTCAAATGCCTTAGGCACTACACCAGAGCTCGCTCGCTCACGCTCTCTCTCTCTCTCTCTTTATAT